TTTATTGAGGAAGTATTAATTGCGAGTTTGAAAGTATATATGTTATAATAACTGCTGCTATTATCCTAAAAGTGGGTCACTGTTTTATGTAAGCTAATTAAATGATTTGTATACATTAAATAGGATAACACTTTTTGATTTAATTTCTTTTTGATTTTCTCCTTAAAGGTGGGGTAGGTAAGTTTAAACCGGCTCGAGATACACTTTTCGTTATATTCCATGGAATGCTCTTAACATCCCGATAGCAATGAATATCGTAAGTGCTTTGACAAAAAATCCATAACAAAATGTCATCTGTGGAAGCCGTAGTACTGTAAAAAGCACGACCAATCATCTGAGCCGGCCCGGCTAAAATAACTGGATGGCCTACCTGCCTGTCAGCCTTCCATCTGGGCACAAACTTGTCTCGTGCCCTCATTGGTCATGTGCGCGTTCGTGTGTCTTGGAGGCATGGATGTATAATAGGCGGGGCCTCATTCATTCCTATGAGAGTTGCTCAATGGCGCATGATGACAAAATGGCCCAACTTTTGAGAGAGCGAAACGTCACAGATTACTGAGAAGTACCCGTATGTGCACTCATAGAGCATGCGCAACTTTAACCACACCGCCCAAAAGGCTCGTTCACATTAAGCACGTGAATTTGCGTACACGTAACAGCACCGCGTGTCATGACAGCATGGTACTGGATTTATATTAACGAGGCGGCAGTTAGCAGCTAGCGGCTAGCTAGTAAATTATGCTAAACTACACATCAATCGTTATGTACTTTTATATTACGCTGACATCAAGATCTAGTGATATCCAAGCAACAGAGCTTCATTTAGCATGATACTTGTGTGGGTTGTATATGAAACCACTTGGTAATATATAAAAATGAATATATTGAAGCCCAAGCGGCAAACTCTGGGGAACAGCCGGGACGCCAATACGGAAGTGCCACACACTGCAGTTCATACATGGGCCGCTAGGGACTGGCTGCAGAAAGGAGCCATTTCCATAGGCCCCCATGTTAAAATGCCCAACTTTACAGCAGAAAAAAACATGTTTCTACCCATGGATGCAATAAATATTATTATCGATATAGTTAGATTCCACCTTCATGATTATGAATCTGTGAGTGAATTGTTTTCTAACACGACCCTTTTATTTATATTAGGTCTTAAAGTTTTTGCATAAATTAGGGCGTGGTCACTTTGATGGACACGACATGCCTCACTGTCAGCAAGTTGCTACTGTTAGCTGACAGTGAGGCTATACCATAGAGGCTACAACGTTAGTTAGGCATATACTGTACTTGACCCTTTAGCTTTAGCCGTGTTCGTGGTGATTGTGCCTTTTAGGGAATATTGTTACAAATACCAGACAATTAAAATGTCGTGCTGTGCGCTTGAATGTACTAACAGAACTTCCAAGAAGTCTAAAATTATAATATTATACATGTTAACCCCGTTCGCAGGTGTTTGTGTGCTTGGTAGCTTAGCTTGTTACTTATTAGCCAGCTAAGGACGTAACCCTTTATGCATACATATACATTTTAGTTTATGATTCAGCCTTGGGTAAGACTTTTATAGTCTATGGCAGGCATCCTCAAACTACGGACTCCGATCCGGATCCGGACCGAACCACCACTGTCTCCGGACTCTGAGCAAATTATACTTTTCATATGTATTATCTCTCTGTATTATATGTGAGACATCGCCACAACGCATTCGCAACGAGTAAAAATTCTCCGCTATGTCCACTGCAAACAGCGCTCTGCATGTCTGACTGTTCCACTGTGTTCCACCTGTGTGTGTCAACGCTTTGGTCCAATCACATTCAGCATCCAGTCAGCGTTTTTTTCCCCCAAACAATCTGCGAATCAGAGGCACAGTAGGGCGGGTCTTCGCGGAATGCGGGTGGGAAAAATGTGTGTGTCTCTTTCAACCTGTCTAAGTCAGAGCGAGAATAAAAAAATAAAAAATTCAGAGCGAGAGTTAACAGCTCATCTAGTTCCATCTGTACTGTAGCTAGTAGCCTAGTTTCACCTACCGGGGTGGCAACTGACATCCTAAAAATAGGCCTTGCCACCCCAGCTGCCACCCCAGTTGGCAGCTTTGTTTTGAAAGAAAAGTTGTGGATCATCGGACATTTATGAGAGAAAGTCTCTAATGTCCGAGTGCAAGTGAATGCAGCACAAGATGCACGTCATGTAACCCCTCCCCCGGTCCTGGCGCGAGCGTTGACATACGATTGGCGGAGATTTCATTTTGAACTGGACGGCGCAAAACGAGAAGCATTTCGGACCCAAGCACTGAAGGAATTAGGTATTTGCGGTCTACAATGACAGAGAAGAGACTGTCAGTGTGGCTGTACTCAGCATTGAATCAAAACGCACTAAAGCTGTTGATCTTAATACGTTTGTGATGCGTTTTGCTGAACAAAATGGTAATCGCCGCATTCAGCTGTAATAGACATGTCAACTTGATGCTCTGCTCACGGATGAGCATACACAACTATTAAGATGATGACCTTACGTGTGTAAATATTTTTTTTTCTTTGAGGGGGTCTGCCCCCAAAAAACTGTTTTAAGTCCTGAGAAAGTCAAATAAGACGGTGTGTAAAACTACACTGCCCAGCCAAAAAAAAGTAACCACTTTGATTTAACTAGGCCAGTGGCAGTAGGTAAGGACATTCCACTGGATAATAACTGAAGTATAAAAGAATGCATGACTGAAGTGATGGAGACCATGTTGAAGGCAAACAAAAAGAGGAAATAACAGGTCAAATCAAGCAAATCCCCCTCTCAGATTCCACAGCAACCAGAAGAACATAAATACTGGCTGGTGATTTGATTCATCAGCTTTGTGATGGAATAAAAAATGCACAGTGCATTTCCTTAGCTGTGGGTGAGTCCACTGACACCACTGACAATGCTCAGTTGCTGGTGTTTGTGAGTTTTTATGATGAGGCAAAGGGGGAGTTTGTTGAAGATGTGTTGGGCCTGACGAACCTCAGTGGACACACAAGGGGGAATACATTTATAAAGCAATAATGGGAATGCTGAATGAAAGAGGGTGCAGCTGCCTTTATTCATAACTGTGCAGCTCTTACACTGCGACTCTGAGGGGTCAAGCACAGACACAATAACAATGAAAACTGCTGCATACAGATTATTTTAGTTTTTGCAACCTCATGTTAAGAATCTTGTTGCAATTGTTTAAAAGTTTGAATGACCGTAATAAACGGACCTTTGTCTTATTGAAACATTTATTTTGGACCTTTAAGATTTGTATTTGAGTACCCCTGGTCTATGGCTATGACGCCCATAATGCTAAACGGGAGCAAATGTTAATAGGGGACCCAATTATCCCAGTGGTGGTGGCCGCTAACGGAGGCGGCTAGCTCCAGCCGGCGTCCCGGAGCTAGCCCACTGCGGCTCCATTAGGTCCGGGCGGTGGAGTCCGTCTTTTCTCAACGTGTGAATGACAAGCATAATAAAGAATAACAAAATATAGCTAATTCTCTTGCAGATTGTCTCATTTGATTATGAATGTAACGTTTATATAGGGGAACTACACTGTTAGCAGTAACTTGGTATGCATGTATTTCATGTTAGCTTAGCTTCTTAGCCTGAGCTAGCTCTGTTTACTTCCAGTTCGGAGGCAGCAGGTCCCGCCTCAGCTCCGCCTCTTTGCCCTTATTTGGAGCAGGCCGGATTAGACTCTGACGTCACAGTCGAGCCGTTAGTGGCCGACTCCGCCTACTAAGGGCTTCACGGCAACTCTGCAGAATTCTATGGGTGACGTCACGGACACTACGTCCATACAGTCTATGGTTGAAGCCTGTTATGAACAATTGTGAGTTAAAACGTTTATCTAAAAAGTAAAGCTGATGATGGATTACTGTGGTGGAGTTAAAATAACAATAGCCTATTTCTTTTTGAAATGTGATGGAGTAAAAGGATAGTAACTGTGATTATTCATGTTAAGTAGCCCACAAGTAACTAAAACAATTGCAAGTGCAATAAGAAGCTACAGGAACGTTAATCTACGTCGGTAATATTAACTTTATTTAATACAACATTTACGGTACAAGATTTACATCATACAGCCCATGTAGTATAATATTTGACAAATGATGAATTACAGCGAACATGTGCAATATATCCATTATTACAGCTCTGTGGGCTGGCAGTAAGGCGATATGGTCCGTTATTATTGTGCATCCATGGGTAAAGAGAAACTCATGTAGTACTGAACACGTAACATGAACGTGCCGGGCGGCGCGGTCCCGTGGGTTAGATGCGCGTTCATAATGCAGAGGGAAATAACTCTCAGAATAACGTTATTAGCACATTTTTACAACTTGAGGAACGAATGTTTTTAATAAGGGCTATACAAACGTTCATACTGGGTAGTTTATTTAGTTTAAAAAAAATTATCCAACGAGTTACAGACCACTCTTTCCCAATGTAAGTCAATGGGAAAAAGTGTTTCCGGGCCCAGCAACCTAAAGGAAGTGTAGTACCGCCATTTGACCAGCACGAATATTCTCATCAGACTCCGGCGCACTTCCTGGGGGCTTGGGTTGGAGGAGGGGCTCTGTGATGAAGTCTGAAGGAAGTGGCAGATTTCTTATGGTTGTGTATTTTCAAATTCCAGCGCACTCGAGCTGGTTTCTCCAAAGTTACCTACCCCACCTTTAACTGTTATTATGTTATTTTTATATATTTTTGGTTATATACAATATGTCATATTTTGTTAATATATTTTTCAAAATAAGGAAAAGAAAAATAAAACAATACAAATTATAATAAAATAAATACAAATAATACCCAAAAAATAAATACAAAACAACACAAACCTGATATAAAGAAAAATAATGAATGCTAAAAAAAAAACACAAACCTAGCTGTGGAATGTGTCTGCTAGATAATGAGGACAGGAGGTTTCATCACACAGTGGTGGTGTCACTGTGATGTGGAAGCAGCAGTGACAGCAGGGCACTGAGCGCTGGACTTTACTCCTCCTGCTCCTCTCTGGGACTCTGCTGCTATATATACTGATCCAGGAGCTGTGCACAACACACTCTGCATCCATCACAGCTCAGCCACAGGTGAGACACCCCCACCAGGAATATCACATTACGATATGGAAAATAAGCACTGAGAGCTAATGTTGCATGTTTCTTTTCAGCTGCAGTCATGAAGGTCCTCGTTGTGCTCGCCCTCGCTGTTTTCACAGGTGAGCAAGATGAATTTTTTTTTTTTTATTTAGCTAAAGAAAAATGGTTATTCATTCCAATTGAAATAATAATATGTTTGGATCTTGTGTTCTTCCACCAGGTTGCCATGCCAACATCGTGTGGCAGAACCAGCCCAAGCCCCAGGTGGAGATGGTGAAAGATGCATTCTGGGACTACGTCGCCAAGGCAACCATGACTGCTGAGGATTCCCTGAAGCAGATCAGACAGTCCGAGCTGGGAAGTGAAGTGAAGTAAGTCTCAGAATAAAAGACCCACTAACTAATGCCTATAAGGAAAATAACACCCTTCAAAACTACTTGAATATTTCTCCATATAACATGAAATACCTTCAAACAAATATGCAACGATCTAAGTTAAGGACCATCCTTAGTTATTAACTATTAAAGTTAAACAACAACTGCCTTTTTTTAAGGTAATATTTATTGCATATTTATTTATTAGCTTTTTGCTTTCTATTACAGATAATATATTGGAAAAAAGGATAGAGGGGGGACAATGTTGTGCCTTATTCCTGGTTAATATCTAAAGGAGGAACCAGAGTTTCTCATGACTTATTCCTGTGTCCCTGCAGCACCCTGATCTCTGAGAGCACCGACGCCGTCAACAAGCTCACCGACGCTCTGCGCACTCAGGTGGCCCCTCTCACCCAGGATCTCATGTCTAAGTTTACCCAGGAGGCCGAGCTGCTGAAGGCTCGTCTGGAGAAAGATCTGACCGCCGTTAGCGCCAGCCTGCAGCCCTACGCCCAGGAGCTGGTCGCTGACCTCCAGAAGCAGGTGGAGGAGCTGAAGAAGGACGCCATCCCCTACGCTGACTCCATGGACTCCAAGGCCCTGAAGGCCATCCTGGTGCAGAAGAGCCAGGAGCTGAGGACCCATCTGGACAAGAGCGTCGCCCAGCTGCAGGCCCAGATGGTGCCCTACACCGAGGAGATCAAGGAGAAGATGGAGCAGAGCCTGGAGGAGTTCCAGAGGAGCATGGTCCCCCTGTCCCAGAGCTTCGAGAGCCAGCTGACCCAGAAAACCCAGGAGATCCAGCAGAACCTGGCCCCATACGGAGATGTGCTGAGAGCCCAGCTGGACACCGACATCCAGAACCTGAAGAAGCAGCTGGAGGCTCTGTGGAAGTCCTTCACTAAGATGACCCAGTAAATTGAATTTTATCTATACCATTATTTATGTTTTTATTTCTCTCAAACACCCTGCAACAGCACAGTAAAAAACATACTTTCCACGCGGTACTCAAGCAACAGCAAAGCATGATGGACCATGGTCACATCCCTAGAAGGCTTTTTATACGGACCATCTAACGATTCCTACCATTAACACAACTGAGGATGCTTCCCAATATTCAAATGAATTTTAACTCGCCATCGTAGGAGGCTATGGGATCATTTGGCTAGCATTAGCTCGTATGAGGCTATAACTTGGGATCATTTGGCTAGCATTAGCTCGTATGAGGCTATAACTTGGGATCATTTGGCTAGCATTAGCTCGTATGAGGCTATAACTTGGGATCATTTGGCTAGCATTAGCTCGTATGAGGCTATAACTTGGGATCATTTGGCTAGCATTAGCTCGTATGAGGCTATCATTTGGGATCATTTGGCTAGCATTAGCTCGTATGAGGCTATAACTTGGTAGAACAGATTTATCTTCAAGTATGCTGTGCATTGCCGGAGCTGATCCAACCTCTCAGTTCTCTATTCTCAGTTTTGAAATGTTCTCTTCTACCTGATCATCAGTGTTAAATCAGTGTTGGTTTTATGGGACAGAAAAAAAAGTGCAATACCTCATTTTCTATGTTTTTATTGAAGGAAAATGCTATAATGTTACTGTTACTACTGTATGAGCTTTCATCTGTAAAATAACAATAAATAGGTTAAATGTATATTGTGTTCTAAATGTTCTTCATCAATTCAAAACTATACTGTGACACAACTCCATGCGTTAATGTTCAAAAAGCTCTTTATTTTTCTCATACTGCCTGTGCTGCAGCACCTCTTTTCACCCTCTGTCTGACACCAGAGCCCAGTCCAGTCTGATTGGTTAGCTGACTGGACTGGGCTCTGTCTGTTTTAATGGCGCATTTCCACTACTGCGCGGAGCTCGCTTTAAGTGTGCCGTGCCATGCCCGGCCCGTTTTTGGTTGCGTTTTAAAGCAAACGGATATTGTTCTAAACTGTATTAAAGTAAACAGGTATTATCTTGAACTGTATTGAAGTGAACATGTATTATTTGGGACTGTTTTAAAGTAATCCTATATACAGAGTTGGGTGTAACGCGTTACAAAGTAACGCGTTACTGTAATAATATTACTTTTGTCGGTAACGAGTAGTGTAGCGCGTTACTTTTATAATTTAGTAATTACACTACAGTTACTAACATTGCCCCGACACGCGTTACTTCGTTACTTTTATAAAATAATCACACTCACTGACAGACAAGAGGGGTTTCCGCCGCAGGTTTATATACATGTAGGCCTATGTAATCTGCGTGATTTGCGAGACCACATCTCCACGTGCAGTGCTGCATAAACATGGCTGAGTCTTTTCATCTGTAAACTCCCTCAACGCTCGCTCTCTTTTGTTGATCGCCCTCTCACGGGTGAACAGTTCAATGTCCCGCTTCATTGTAGGAATTCTGCCATGTCTCTACCACTTTAGTTTGACCATCTCTGTTACTAAGTTATGGAATACTAAATAAGTAATTAGATACCTTACCGTTACTGCGCTCATAAAGAATGATAAGAATAATGCGTCTTGAACTGGTTTCATTAATTAGTGTCTTGACGTTTCACAGACTGTTAGCTTGTTGTGGTATAGGCTCTAAAATAGGCTGGTAGCCTATTTTAGAGCATATAAAAAGAAAGACTTGTGTTATGTCTTCCTTAATGCAATAGTAATTGGGGGTGCAAGTGGAGTCTCGCAGAGGCAAAACTGTGGCGCGCTTTACACTGTAGGTGCGCCGCAGTCTGCGTGATCTGCCTGTAGGGAGGGGCGGGTCGGCCCTGCGAGTAAAGTAACGAGTAAAGTAACGAGTAAAGTAACGAGTTACTTTATGTAGAGAGTAACGAAGTAGTGTAATATATTACTTTTTTTTAAAGTAATATGTAATATGTAATATATTACTTTTTTTTAGTAACGACCCCATCTCTGCCTATATATATAAACCTTCTTACTTACACTCCATAACCCAGAGACCCTGACACACACACATACACTTCCTCCCATCAGCAGACACACACACATACACCTCCTGTCTCCATGCAGCACACACACATAAACTCCTTGACCCAGATATCAGCAACACACACACATACGCCTCCGCTTATCAGCACACACACACACACACACACACACACACACACACACACATACATTTCCCCTCACTAACACACACACATGTTCTTTTTCAAGGTTCTTTCTGGGGCCAATATAATCCCAAGCACCAATATATCTGTGTACAATGTTTGATTGTTTGGGAAGGAATAGTTTGTGTGAAATCTTTCTTGGGAAAGTAAAGGAGTTAACCCAGGTATAAGATAAAAAGTGATTCTGACCTTGTATAGTTCCGAGGCTGTCACGCTCTGTTCAGAAGAAAAATACTTTTTCCCAGAACTCTGATTCGCTGTATTGGGCCCGACCCAAAGTGAATCCAACCAGTAAGAACACCTAGGGGAGTGAGCAACCGACCCAAACTCCTCCCCACGGACTCTCTGATTCGCTTAGGAGTAAAATGGGACGGAAGAGCCGACACACATCTCCGCCCCAAATATGTCCATATATACTGTTGTTTCTTCATGCAAAATGCTCCCTGTTTCTGACTGGCTGGTCCCGATATCTGTATCGCACGGCAGTAGAGCGGGGAGCCCGGAGTGCTCTGTTTTCAGGGCACTCTGTATTTCGTATTGTGTTTTTTACTGTATTAAAATCAGATTATTGTTATAACTTTTATGCCGGTGTTTTGAACTCCTTCTTTTATTAAATCTGACCAGGCTCATCTAAAGGACGGCGCGGAGCAGAGGTGGGCTTTAAGCCACCACTATTGTGTTTGCTCCTACAGTTTCCACTTGGCGTAGTTCCGGCTAGCGGCTACTATTTCACAGTTTTTCTGGCGTTAGTAAAAACCATGAATTAATGCTTTGACAAGTCTGCAGACAGACGGCAGGCAAAAAACCTTTTTAAATGTGTGTTTACTGAATGGAAATCGGCTAAGCTAACACAGTATATGCTCCGACCGTCCACACTTACAACAACGGCCATTACAAACATAAATAAACCAGCGACTGTATTCGCCATGACACAGACAATCTGTGGTTTGTACTTGTTTAACTTTTGTCTAGTTTCTGAACAGATATGAAGAGCTGTGAGCTCTGAGGGCTAACAGCTAATGGCTGATATTGTTTTTCTGTGGTTCTCATTGAAGATGACGTCACGGCTCCGCCTACACTGCGTTACTATAGTTACTGCCCCAGCTACTAAACTGTAATGGAAACGTAGCATAAAGTGAGCCAGTCCTAACAAGGCCTAACGAGGCCTAGCCATACCGAACGAGGCCGAGCGAGGTCCTGCAGTGGAAATGCGCCATTAGAGATGTCCCGCCCCTTAGCCTATCAAGTACAATGTGTTGCAGCACTAGCCAATAGAATAGAATCGAATCGAATAGATGTTACAGAAGCAAACAGGGAGTCCAATGGAGGCGTTTCAGCCAGGGTTGAAAAACTCCCTCTGGAGGGAACACAGGGATTTTAACCTTTGCAGACTATTTACATTCACAAAAACCTATATAACACACTACAGGAGAGGGAAAACCCTAAAAGGCATAATTGGGCCCCTTTGAGGAATGACATTTATGAATCAAAGATAATCTTACAAACATTTTCATGCAAATGTCATGTAACTTTCAAGGTAAGAAATGTAATTTCTCTCTTATCAATTAAAAGTGTAGCTCATAAGCAGTGAAACACACACACTTGCTCAAATCAATACACAAATTCAGCTTTATTCGGTCTAGTGTGACTGACCAGTATAGCTAACTGCTAAAATGCAAACTTTAAGGACTCAGATTTGTATCTACATCTCTCCTCTACTTGAGCTCTAGTTACATCTCAGCACTGTGTTGTCATCGCAGCTTTTTGGCCAGCAAATTATCAGACAAATACAGATATATAGAGAACATTTTCAAAACAAAGAGTGCATCAAGCAACACAAGAGGCTCGTCTCAATTGAATATTTCATCTCCTCCTTTCCCTCACTCGCGTCCCTTCCTTGCGTCTTAGCTCCGCCTCCGTAAAATGCGAGGGAGAGACACGAGGAGGAGACGCGAGGACAGAGGAGTCCTCAGGTATTACTTGGGACGTCCTCGTTCACTCAAACGTCACTCTTAAACAACGTCTGTTAATGATGACATGTGCACAGCTGTATCCCCTCTCATCGGGCTTAACTGAAGAACCCTTTAGAACCGGCCCATTTGTCACTGAGTTCTCTGTAAATGTGATCTATGTTATCGGCCCGTCTGAACTTTGACTTAAGTCATTTCATTCATCAAACCTGTGAACACACATTCAATAGGGTTTGTATTTTCTGAGGCCATATCATTTTCATGGAATATTTTTCTCTATTTATTTTAGTGTTGCGACTTTGCCACTTTGAAACCCAAGAAGTCACAACACAGCACATCCCGAACGGGAACTGCACTATAGTAGCCTACATATTTATACTCATGTGGTAGCCCACAATTTCCAAAAGTCTTAAATGTATGTAATGCCTCATGCCTGTTCATATTATCATCAACACTCAGGCCAAAGGTATATTTCCACTCTAATGGCCAATAAATAGTTGTATTCAGCGTAATCTGTATCAAAGGTAGATTAATGCAAGGTTTCCCATCTTATAAAAGTTGTGTAAATGCAGGCAGCGGTTGTTAAAGCAGACTATGAACCACACCTGCTGGACAACGATATAAGAATGACCTTTGACCCTTAAGTAAAGTGAATTCTGTTTTTTTTATTATCTCATGATGCAGTGATTTTTAGATCAAAAATCTTTTTATTACGTTTCTACAATGCATAACCAGGACTTGTCATTTAGAAATGGAAAGCAAAATGTATGCATATACAAATGAAACAATGGTTTGTACTGGTTATATGTACAAAGGGAAAAATAACGGAAAACACAAACAAACAATAACAACGACAAAAGTAATCCCCTACATCAGGGGTCTCAAACTCAAGGCCCAGGGGCCAAATCTGGCCCGCGACTTCATTTTATGTGGCTCCGCAAGAGCTTGCAAACAATATAATACGGTTACATGCCGCATTACAGAAGCAGGTTGCCCATAAACTGCATGTCCCACAATGCATCTCATTTTGTGACATGCGCACTGAAGAAACTTGCAATTATTTGCCCTGGACTTCTGCTTTCAGGTAGTTAATTACTAAATTATTATCCTATCCGATAATAATCAGAGGCAATAATGTAATATAATACATTATTTTATATATATATTATACATTTATATAGTTACAACCGACCCTTTGAGTGCAACCTTTATGCGAATGTGGCCCGCGATTAAATTGAGTTTGACACCCCTGCCCTACATCCACTGCCAGTGAGCCTCATACACACGAATATCCACCAGAAATATTGTTAAATAACGCATGTAATACATAATGCATATTCATATTTTTTATTTTGTTGTAAGTAAACTGCACTGATCTAAAACTGATCCCACTCATTCTCTGCTCAGATTTTTGGGGTGTTCCTCATTTTTGACCTGTGACGTGGAGCCGAAATAACACACACACACAGCAATAAAAGGTGACAACAGCACAGTTGGAGCTGGGAACTTCGGACGCAGGTCAGCAATCTTGCTCACATTTATTGGATCGCAGTAAGTCACATGCAGTGTATAAATAGAGAGGGAGGCTCATCAGTGTCACAGACGTCACAGATCACATCACTGAGGTGAGCTCTCACACGTCTCTAACAGCAGGCTGGTCTTGTATGGGTTAATTCAGAATTTTGATTTGTTTGAACTGTTTCAAATAATTTAGTTTGAACATTTGAGTTTATTTATGTGTAAAAACGTTGAGTCACTTGAGTAAAACATCCTAAAATGTATATTCAACAGGTGAACATTTTAGCTTTTTATAACTAAACTACTCAAATGAACTAAAAACGTTTGTGTGCGTTAGTGTTGAAATAGTTTTAAAGTATTTATCATGTGATGTTCCAGGTGTCATCATGAGGGTGTTTGCAGTATTCCTTGGGCTGGCGGTCCTCTCAGGTGAGTTCAAATGTATTTTTAGACACACATAAAAACTACAAAAAGGAAGAAGAAGACAATCACATGAGCAAGGAGAGAAGATAAGAAGAAAGACAAATAAAGTAAAAACAGATTGAAATGTCTATCATTTAGATCCTGTTACACTTTTGGGCTTTCATTTTGAAATCACTGTCTACTATAGAGACCACAATAAGTCTGAGATAATAAAGCCAAAGGAGCTTTTATATTTCAAATAAGTTTCACATTCTCTTTTTACTTCTGTCTGTTCTTTAGTGGTTTCAAAAAATCTGATCAAATACGAGTCCCAATATGTATTTAACAAAATGTGGTGTGGCCTCACAGATTTGAAAATATAACCTGAAATCAAATGACTTGTACATTTTGCAATCATTGATTCAAAATAGGTGATTTCTCCGTAATCCAATGCCAAACATCTTCCATCATGTTTTGTTTCCCCTCTAAAATAGTAAGCAGTGAATATTTAATCTTCTTTGTCTCTGTGTAACGCAGGCTGCTATGCCTTTGTTGTTGTTGTTGTATAATTTTATTTTTTTAACAGGCTGCTATGCCAGAAGTGTTCCTCTGGATGAGATGAAGAACTCCTGGGAAGTCCCGGTCGAGAAGTTTAACGATTATTTCACCGACCTGAACTCAAAGGCTGACAGAATGGTGAAGGGCATCAAGAGCTCCCAGATCAACCGGGAACTGGAGTGAGTTCTTTCACGTCACACTGATGAATTTAAGAAGAGTTATCAGAGTAATACATCTATTTATTTGCACCTTAGACCTGCCAGGGACATTTGGTTCCCTGATAAATACCTCATGTGCTATAAATGCTCATACCTGCTTTGACAGAACTGTCATTGTCTATAGATCATAGTTCACCATTCGTTCAAAGAAATGTTTTACATTTAGTCCAATAAAGTGAATTCTATTCACTCATCCTCGTCTACCTGGATACATCTGCAACTACAAGCAAACTGGTTCACATTAAGAGAAACAATAGCAGTATCGCTAATACTATTTAATAATATCCCAATGTTGAATTTATTATAATTATCGCTTAATACAAGTGTACACTAATGAATGGTTTAACTCTTTACCTGCCTATGTTACATTAAACTGCAGCTATGTGTAATGGTTAAGGTTTGAATTCAACTGAAATGTACTTTTTTAAAGTGTTTCTATTTCCTGCGTGTTACATTTTTTCACACAGTATTTGTGTGACTGCTTTAGTCAGTTCTCAAATTAACATTTTCCATGTGAATTCTGTCATCACTTGTAAAATATGATCCATTCCAACCCGTTAGTGAACAATGTAGGAGTTGAAATGGCTGCTACAACATTTAAACGCTGCTTATACCATGCATCAGCAATAATACTCACTTTGTAAGTACTTTAAAATCTAAGTTGATTTTAATGTTGATACTTCTATTTGTTTGCATTCATTGGAATGCAGCATTTTAAGTTGGTGGTAGTGCTACTTTTACTCAAGTAAACGATCTTACTTGTGCTTGCTAACACTGAATAGAACAAACCCTGATGTTTTCTGGGTCTTTTGTTCTTGTCAGATTGATTGGAGTCTGTCTGACTGGTGATAGAGCAAAACACAATGTTGTTTTTACAAATCTGATTGGTTACGCAACACACGTTACTCTGTGTGTGTGTGTGTGTGTGTGTGTGTGTGTGTGTGTGTGTGTGTGTGTGTGTGTGTGTGTGTGTGTGTGTGTGTGTGTGTGTGTGTGTGTGTGTGTTGATTTCACTTGATTTTTATAAGCAAAGCTCCTGTAAATGATTTAATTCCCTGTTGACTGCTAGCAATGCAATATCTAAAATAAAATAAAAATCGAACAAAAGTAGTTATATAACATACATAAGAAGTTAAAGTCAAATGTCCAATAAAAGATAATTTCAATTAACACAGAATACAATATTCACACAAGCATTAGAAGAAAGCTGTTTACGTTATGTTTTCATCTTGAAGTAGGCCTTGAATTGCTCTCACCTCATTCTTGACCCCATCCCTAACCTCCTCCCCCCCCCCCCCCCCCCCCCCCCCCCCCCCCCTCCACCCCTCAGCTCCTTGATCTATGACAGCATGTCAGAGCTGACCCAGTACAGAGAGCACCTGAAGACCAAGCTGGGCCCCTACACCCAGGAGGCGGCGGGGACCCTAGGCAGAGATCTGCAGAGGACCTTCGGCAAGCTGGACGGGCGCCTGCTGGAGGCCCGGGAGCAGATGGAGAAGTACAGACTGGAGCTGACGACCATGATGGAGCAGAACACCGACGACGTGAGGGTCCGGGTCTCCGCCTACAGCCGCAAGCTGAAGAAACGCCTCAACAAGGACACAGAGAGCATCAAGAGGTGAGGGAGGGACTACTTGTTTTCCAACTGTTTACACACCCCATACAACTAGATTTATACGTACATATATGCATTTACTACAAATCTGTTTATTTCAGTTTGTTTATTTGCAAAATGTTTCCTTTTGACCTTATTTTACTTTAACTTATGCAAATGTATTTAGCATGTTTGTTGGTAACCTGAGACTTCTTATTTGAATAGCCAATGACTGCTTTTTTAATTGTAAATGTGATCAAATAAACAACTTGAGCTAGCTTTTATCTAAAACTAAAAGAACGTGCTTTTTCCAACAAAATCATTATTATATATTATATATTGATTTTATATATTTAATATATATTGTACACATAACTCGACAGAACATTATGTTTATATAAACATTTAAACCATTTTCTTTTATTTGTCTTAAAAGTGTACTGTTTTTAATTATACATTAATGCATAATTAGTGTATAATTATGCATTAGTGATAAACTAAATCAACTAAAGTATAGTTTATTTAGCATTAATTTAGATTTGTCTGTGAAATTGAACATATAAAGTGTATGTTAAAATATATATGTTATATATATATATATGTTGCAGTTGAACTAAGGGACCTAATTACTGCTTCAACCCTGCACTTTATTAAGATATAATAACATTTATTTTACAACATGCTGTTTCAATGGGATTCAATCAATGAGATAAATCCGAACTTTTGAGTCTCGTGTTTAAAATAGTTTTGTCCTTTTTCTCAGAACTGTTGAAGAATTATTTGGGAATCTTCACTCCAGCACCTCCAACAACATGGAGGGCATGAAGGAGCGTTTCGACCCTTTCTTCGCTCAGGTGCGGGACAACGTCCAGGCAAAGATCAGCACCCTGGGTGGCCTGTTCCACGACACCACCGAGGATATGAAGGACCGCATCGAGACCACCGCTGAAGACCTGCGCTCCACGCTGCAGGACAAGTTTGAGGAGCTGAAGAACTGGTTCCAGCCCTCCATGTAAACCCTGTAACCAACAGAGAGGACCATCAGTCAAAACCACCTTGAAGAGATTCATAACCAAAGATGTTCAGCTGTTATAGTACACACCACCTCCATGTCTGAATGTGTAGTAGAGTCACTGATGCCTTTCAATAAAAAAACATCTGCTCACATGTGTGTAATGTATATAATAATTTAATATCCAGTCCGAAAGTTCTCTGGTCCAGATGTCCTCCTTTGTTTGCAATATAAATGACTTCAACAAATAAGTGAGCGGTGGAAACATGTCTTACTCTTGCGGATAAATATTTGGAAAGTAAAACATACACTGCAGATTGAAACATCACTGGCATCCATGATGTTTTTTTGTGCGTGTACATTTACACCCCGGTTTAAAAGGTATAGTTCTAATTTATTTCACTTTTTGTATACAGTAAGTCCACTTGTATGGGTTTTTTCTTTCCTACAAAGCTAACACGCAACAATAATAATATAATGTGATTTAATATAATAATAATAAAGAATAATTACATTATTTATTATTAATTAATGCTCCTTTTGCCTATTTTTGCCCACAGTCATTTATTTTAAGCCACTAAGTGATTGTCTTTATGATATTGCTATGCTAAGAGACGCATTTGTCACTAGTTTACTGTGAAAGATGCTGCTTCATAGTGTATGGTGTTTCTTTTATAAATGAAACTACTATAGTGATTTTATTGATCACTTGGCTGCACTTTCAGATAAGTACATGAACCCTTTTGAGAGGACTTACTGCTCACTGTTCATTTAGCTGCTACTTACTATCAGCAAATGTTCTGTCTTGTATCTGACCCCAGGACAACAGTGTGTTCATTCTGAATCCTTCCACCACTGTTAAAAAAAGTTAATTTTGTTGTATTTACTTTTGCACATCCTTCTTTGAGTTTAAAACAGATATAATGTTAAATAATGCTCAAATATCTAGAAGAGACAAGATATTAATTTAAAATGCGCATACAACTTTCCTTATCTATTTCTTGTTGAGAGCACTAGCCGGCGAGACTGCACGTGAAGCTAAGGCACGGTGAACCAGCCTTCCACATCCACGTCATTACTTCATCCAATCACGTTTCTTTCAACTCTTCTCTGAGCCAATCACAGACGCTCTTTAGATCAAGACACAGCATCGTGTTAGGCTGTCGCTGCTCAATGTTGTCATTTCCAAACATGGCTATCACGTTCTAAGTAGAGGATTTGATATTTATCCTGAAAGTTTATTCTCTGTCACAATGAGTAACGTTTGCAGAGAAATCATCACTCTTCAGTTGGGTCATTATTCAAACTTTGTCGGGACTCACTGGTGGAATTTACAGGTAAGCAGCTAGCGCTAAGCCAACGTTAGCATGGCATGTGTTGACAAACTTGGAGAGATAGCTCATGTTAGCAGCAGCGTGAATGTGCAGTCTGTGTTCAATAAACACACCGGGGACATGCAGTGGAAACAACTAGCATATACACAGGCTACATGGTGCTAGCTAGAGTGTGAAGTCAGCAGTTTATTTCTGATCAGATAGTCATATTTGAGACGGACATCGGGGATATTCCTAAGTGAGATATGTATATTAATCACTTCAAATTTAAAATAAATCAACTGGTTTAAATTAAAAAAAGAAATATGTTCTGTGTATCGTGAGATGGTTTTGCTACATCCTCAGTCATCTTTAAGGACCCTCCTCCTGCATCCAGCTGCAGATGATGTCCTGTATACATTACAACTATACATATACATTCGAGATACTTGTATTGTTTGTGATAAGCTGAACTATTTTCCTTTATGGCCAAATGAAATGATCTACTTTTGTAGTTGTATACAATCTTTAAAGAGCCTCTTGGATCAGCTGCAAAATGCATCGTCACAAAGCTGAAGACAGGGTTTGTTTTTTTGATGATACATTATTTTGGATAAAAACACCCAAAAGCATATACAAAAGTTTAAAGCAAAACCTTAAGTAACAACTACAGCAGCAAAAACCGTAATGCAGCATCAATATCAATCCAACAGAATGTATAATAATACAACCCTGAGAGAAAGCCCTTTCACTGCACATTGCATTTGTTTTACTTTTGCTAATGATACTCCATTAGTTTTCCTTCAGTTAGGTTTTTTAGATGGATGACTTTAACCTAGCAGAACATTTTTACAGTGTGGTATTAGATCTGTTCATTTTTTAAGTTAAGGGTCTGAATGCTTTGCAAAAACCGAGTAAGTTCAAGCCCACATAAATGTTTTACTCTAAATGACAATTGTAGTAGTATAAAAAACATAAAGCATTACATTGCAAACACAGAACTATATAACTTCCGTCCAAAACTTGAGTGAAATCTGTTCAAATGGGTCTGTTTGCAGGATGCCTCTTTGTCCTACGATCCAGACACGTCCCTGGGTGAGATCCAGAGTGATGTCCTCTTTCGAGAGGGACAGACTCTGGGGGGACACGTCACACACACACCTCGCCTCATCGCCATGGATCTCAAAGGTAACTTCCTCCGATCCTGTTGTTTCATAATAAAAAAAAATGAGAATTGCTTCACTAGTTTAACTATGGGTAAAACATTGATATGTCTTACATGGATACAGGTTGCTATAGTAACCTGGTTTTGTATGCTGCTGGCTAAGCTGATGTCACACATTTCTATAACAGGAAGTCTCCGGACTCTACGGCAGGAGGGAAGTCTGTATGACGCCAGCGAAGAGGCCTCCGCTGTCACATGGTAGATGAAAGTGTCTCTGCGTGTGCATTACTTCCTGTGTGTTTACAGATTTTAAGGGCACAACAAACTGTGTTGTATTTATAGTAGGACTGAAACTAACACTTGTTTTCATTATCTGTAAATCTGCCAAGAAGTCTAGATTATTCAGATCATTGTTTGGTCTATAGCATGTTATAAACTAGTAAGATGTCCATCGGAGTATCTCACACCACAAGTCTCAGGACAGGTGATTTCTAATCATGTCAGCAGCGCTAAGTGAAAGGTACAGTGTATTCCTGGTGGATTTTGGCACCTTTAACAGGAGGCGTGTGGTGCAGTGGGTTGTGCGTAGGTGTTCGGAACAGGGGGTCACAGGTTCAAACCCCACTGCAGTCAGCATGTCGTTGTGTCCGAGACACTTCACCCCAAAGTGCTCCTGTGGGGATTGCCCACAGTATTGAGTATGTAAGTCGCTTTGGATAAAAGCGTCTAACAAGTGACATGTAATGTTAACTCATTATTTTCTTGATACTTAACTTTTAATGTAATGAAATAATGTACAAGAATCCTCAAAGTGCTCACTTACTGTTAAATATTTGAGTTAAAGGTCAAACCTCTATCAGATCTGCCTACTTTCCCTTTCTTTCCCTAACTGATATGGAAGCAAAATGTTAGACAGGTCTTGGTCTTTTTGATTTCAAACTGTGCTCCATCTGGCAGGGAGGGAAGCCTCATGATGCACGAAGAAACTCCAGCTGAGAAGAACCCTTTTCTAGAAGATCTGGACAGGCTGGATGTGAGTATTTGTGAAGAAAATCAAACCAACAAGAGTATTTTCATTTCACTGTCATCTTGAGATAGTGATGCCAAGCCATTTGTAATAATGCGCTTTTATAGCAATCACAAAGCAAACAGAAGATCAACACGAGCACAACCTTTAGTGCCAACGGCCACATGATGTCATCATTATTATCATCAAGGGTTTCTTGTGTACAAGGGTGTCCATCTACCTGTTCACCTTTTGTCTTTAATCATTTTCCCTATTAAGACACAAAAGTAAAGAGCAACAAAGAGTCGTACAACATAATACAACTTTAAATGAAGTGGATACAGTTCATACAAATACATGCTCAAAGTACCGATAATGAATAAAGGAAAAAAAGAATGATGACATTTTTCCAGTACGGATAATTATGAAATGAATTACTGAAAAAAAATACTACTAAACATATATAACTTAAGGAAATATAGAACAAATAGTGTCTTAATTAATGTTACTTCCCCGCTGTTACATTTGTCTTGCTTATTTTCCATGAAATGCATCAAAGGCTCCTAGATGGAATTAAAGGCCTGCCTCCTTTTAAGACTGTACGTTATTTTCTTCTTCCTTCACTAGCCTAAGCTCGTCTCATTTAACATGAGATGCCTATGGACACCAACGGCTTCTCCATGTCTTCCTACCTTTGCTGTTTGAATAGCCAGGAAGGTATTTAGCGGTACATAGCACCTGATCATGGCAGGTTACTGGTAGAGAGGGACACATATCAACCACAGCCAGAATGTACTAGCCTGATGGAATCTGATTTCATTGTTTGCATTCCCACTGTTCGATTGTACTTGATGTAGTCATTTTGATTTAGATTGGTCTGGATTGAGTAATTATAGTGCTGCAGAAACGTTAAGTGTTTTATCCTGACGGTTTGTTTTTCTCTCCAGAGAGGGCAGACCCTTGCTGAAGATGATCTTTGCGCCCAACCTCGGCGCTCAGGTAAGAAAATCTTAAAGGAACTTTAAAGTTCAGCATGAAATAAGATTTTGCATGAAACTCAGCAGCGAGCCCTGTGAACCCCCCCCCCCTCCCCCAGCTGCTGCAGTGAGCCTGGATGTGAACAGCCAGCTGGCAAGGCTCCAGAAGGCCTACCGGCTGGAGGGCAGCGTGAGGGTGTGGTCCGACTTCCTGAGGCTGCACCTGCACCCCCGTAGCATCTCCGTTATCCACCAGTTCAACCACGACGGGTAGAGTACAACGTCAGACTTAAAACAGGAAGGACAGCATTGGGATTTCACTTCGTGATCGTTTTCACAATACAGACTCATTTGGAATTGTATACTGTTTTCGTCTATATAATAAAATCATATTTTCATATTCGTCAAAATTAAGATGGCAATACTTGTTTAAAGTAATCCAAATCAATTTGATACCTCAATTTATAAGCACTTTAACAGTTTACAGTGACACACAGAATATATAGACTATGCAAGGATTATGTACAGTATACTTATGACTGACAGTGGTGGCATTTACTCCAATACTGTACTCAATTACAATATTGAGGTACTTGTACATTACTTGACACTTTACATTTCCTGCTGTTTAATACTTCTAACTCACTGCAATTCAGATGGAAATATTTTTACTTTTTAGTCTATTAAAGTAGGCTTACACTGATGATGCTAACACTTTGTATTTATACTTAAGTAACACAACAGAACTTAATTTGTAACAGACTATTTTACACGTTTACTTCGGAGTACT